AGCTCGCGCGCAGGCAGTGACGAGCCCGCTGCCGCTGTCGTGCTTTCTCACACTTTGTCAGCCACGCCCGGAAAATCCTAACAACCTACTTCTAGCTGCCAACAAACACTCAGAAGATTGGATCAAATCAGTACACGGAGGAAGACGAGATTTTGGTGCCGCGTACTGCTGCTGCTACTTTTCTGGTTTGTTATCAACATAAATAGGAAAACTACATGCAGACTCGCCATCTTCTTGTGGGTGTCGTTCCAAGACGATGAGTCCGGCCGCCGCGCTCGCCATTTTCTCGCGCAAGTCCGGCGCCGGCTGCCGCTCATCGACCATCGCCATCTTCTTGCACAAGTCCGGCGCTGAGGCCCAGCTCGTGAGCTTGACTGGCCAGCGTCCACCGGCGCGCGCCTCATACTCGGCCTCTGCCGCCAGGAGGCTCGCAGCCGCCGGCGCGCCGCTCGTCCTCGGCCTCCGTCGGCGCGTGGGATTCCTCGTCGGCCTTCGGCGTGAGAGAGATAGAGAGCGGTGGGAGAGGAAAGAGATAGAGAGGAGATAGAATCTGGCAGGTGGGCCCCACTGACTTTTTTAATAAAAAGTATTGCTGACTAGACTGCCACGTAGGCGTAAAATCACTTCGGATTAATTTAGAAGGTTATTTGTCCGGTAAAACTAGTTGAGAGTGTAAAATGTCCGATTTTGTGATTTAGGGGTTAATTCGATCGCACGATAGTTCAAGTGGGTAATTCTTATTTTTTCCTTTCGTTCTCCCCCGCGATCGAGCGACGGCGAATCCAATCCAGGACAAAGGCACACCCACGTGCGGATGCCTCGCCATGCCATGCCGGCGTGGGGCCCACTCCGCCAGCGACTGCGGGTGGGCCCGGATAAAGGTGGGGCCCACGGGTGGGGGCCCGGGGGTGGCACGTGGGCGTGCTGGTGTGGTGGTGGTGGTGGGGCCGAAAAGCTGACGGCGGCGAGGCGACTTTCCCGGGCTCTCCGTTGGCCGTCGCTGTCGCTTTATCCTCGCTTTTGGGTGTGGGCCCCACTCGCTGAACGTGAAATGGACGCGCAGATCAGATGTGGGCAACGCCAAAATATGCCACGGCCACACGTAACCCTTACACAAATCTCCTGCTCTTTTTTTAAAATTTTTTTTGAAAGGTTGGTTTTTTCAAAAACTTATTACGAAACTAGATTGTAAGAAAAGCTTCATTAAATACTATTTTTCGGTTGAAGTTTTTTTTTTGCACAATCTAGTTTCACAGTAAGTTTTTTTTAAAAATAACCAATTTGTCAAAAAGAGGGGGGGACACAACTCTAAGCATAGTAGTGGCGGAGCTAAAACGAAATATAGGTATTACTATGCTTGAAGTGCACATATGGTGAAAATAAATAAATAAATAAAATTAGCTTGGGTTGTTCGACATCCCCTAGATACATATAGCTCCGCTCCCGATATTAGGCTCTTGCTCCAAATATTAGGTGTAGCATAAAAAGAAAAAGAATACTCCAAATATAGGTGAGGAGTATATGCAGAAATTGGAAGACACGGGCAAGGTTCACAGTACCAACGAAAACCGATCGAATTCCGCAAAATTTTGACGTTTCGACACGGCTCGGAATCAAGTTTCGATTTCGAAGGTTAAACAGTAGATTTAGTCAAAATTCATCAAAAACCGTGATACCGATGGAGCTCAAAATTTAGTGGTCAACCGGTAATGTAAACCATGGACACGGGAAAATATGTCGCAGTCGCATACGGCAATTTTCCGTATTGGTGTATTTTTATGTTTGTCGCTACTACTACTATATTATCCATTTGCACTGCATTTCAAAGTTGGGCATCGCTTTACCACAAGCGCTCAGATTGTATACATACTAATATATGCTACTCTTAGAAAATTAAGGGCTTATTTAGTTGGTGAAATGAAAATTTTTGGGTGTCACGTCGGATGTTTGACCAGATGTCGAAAGGGGTCTTCGGACACGAATGAAAAAACTAATTTCATAACTTGTCTGGAAACCACGAGACGAATCTTTTGAGCCTAATTAAACCATCATTAGCACATGTAGGTTACTGTAGCACTTATGGCTAATCATGGACTAATTAGGCTCATAATATTCGTCTCGCGATTTACATGTAAACTGTGCAATTAGTTTTTTCTTTTTATCTATATTTAATGCTCCATACATGTGTCTAAAGATTCGATGTGATGTTTTTACGAAAAGTTTTTGGAGAACTAAACAGGGCTTAAGTAAAACTAGTCATGTAGTCTCTCCTTTTGCAGGACTTTTGATCTAGTTTAAGAACTTTTGTATATGATTTGTTAGTTAGCTTAGCTTTTAAGAAGGTTTTGATATGAGTTAATGTATTTACAAAATATTGATTGGTCTAATCAACTATAGATTTAGCTAAATTATGCTATATTTCTTTTAAAAAAAGGATTCACTAGAAGCCTCCTGTGTTTTTTCCCTCATAGTCTTTGCCCGTATCATGTAATTCCCATATGTTTAGCCTTACCGTTTAATCCAATGAACATTGTTTATTAAAATTCTTTATCCAACAGTTTTCGATGACATGAAGTATTTAGGGGCTGTTCAGATTGATGTCATTTTCAACCGTACCATTTATTGTAAAATTATCAAAAAATTAACTACATTTAGTTTATTGTCAGGCTTTGAGAAATATATAAGAAATTCTGCCAAAATTTTGATAATATTATCAACTTGTCAAAATTTTAACATTGCCAAAATTTGGTAAGATTTATTTTAGCTATAATCTGAACAACCTTAGAGTATCATAATTTAAAGTGCAATATGAATTGAAAAATGGAACCCCATTGAATTTTGAAAGTAGCACAATTTTTTTTAATTGCTAGAGAGGCTGGAAGGGCAAGTCGAGGAGCAACGCAAACGCAAGTGTTCTCAAAAAATTAAAAACGCAAACGCAATTAGTTCGAGTAGGGCCCACCTACCTGCCAAAAAGTTCATGCTCTGAAATTGCCTCGTCAAAAGCATCCCCGTGACGTGGATCCGCCAGCGGCTCACGTGACCGGCTGCAGCAGGTCGCTGCCCGTTGTCAATTCGGGCCTGGTTTTCGAAAGGACAACACAAAATTCGGGAAAATTCGAGTTCATAAATTTATAATATGATTTTATAATTTATAACAAATTGGTATTGTAAAATTGTAAGTTCACGACACCTATAATTACGTGTCAGATCCCTTATGATTTCATATACTTAGAGCAAGTTTAACAGTTTAGCCAACTTCTAGCTCTAAATCATTTATAACCAATGCAATAGCTAATTCATACAATACTCCCTCTGGTTCTATATTAATTGACGTTTTGGACAAGATTGAGGTTAAACTTTTATAACTTTGACCATCAATAACTTTAAAAATATTTAGTTTAAAGAAACTAGAAAAACATATATAGATTTGTCTTTCAAAACACTATAATAAAAATAAACATGCATTTATTTATTGTATATATTATAATAGAAAAATAAGGTCAAAGTTATATCTTATAGAACGTGTCATTGTCCAAAGCGTCAATTAAAATAAAACTGGAGGGAGTAGATGCTTACTACACTATTAATAACTGGTCACACCTATCATACATGTATTACGTCTTGGAGTCCGTGCTACAGCTGATTATAAATCTGTAACCCACTGCTCTTCTCTCTATTCATTTATCTCTTTAAAATATGTTTATAGCTAGCTTATAATCTGCTACTATACCTGCTCTAATATAACACCTAATGGTTAAGATTTATTGTCTCCATTTAAAAATATAAACGCTTTTAGCTGTGCAGTGAGTACTGAGGGAGTAACATTTCCCTATTACCTGGAAAAGACCCTCATGCATACACATAATCACGCGCCTACATCACACACACATTAAACCTTATGATTTGAATGCAAGGCATCCTATAATTCTATCCACTAGTAGTATTCAAACTTCTAAATTAGACTAAAGCGAAATCTGTTTTACTATTCATCTGTCAGAAAATGTATTTTATAGGTTGTTTAGTATATATTAAGGTTAAGGGAAAATATTTCTTTACTCGTCTCAGTGGTTAAAATTTAGGTAAATTTTGTAACAAGATATTGTGGCTGCGCGGTTTTAGATCCGCGCAAAGTGATTTTTAAAGAAAGGTAATCTTTAAAGTTAGATATTTGCTGGTGAACACCGTATCCATTAAAACAATAATTTTCAGGTGAGGAAGAGAGAGTAATCACGTGAAACGTCAAAAATTCTCATGGGCCCACATGTCAGCTCTCCTATCACTCTTCCTAAAGAACTTAACGGAAAGCCGCTAACGAAATCTGTTAGGTGATGGCATTTCTATGACAAATTACCTTGTACGATAATATTTTATAAAATTCACGCTTATCGATGATATTTTGTGAAATCGGGTGTTTGTCAATGACATTATTTGTATTTTCTCAAAAGAGAAAAAAAATCTTTTTAGAGTTGACCGGTGCAGCCGGTCTCCCTCCCATACCCTGCAGGCTGCAGCAGCAATCAATCAGAAAGCGCGACTCAGCTAGTACTACTTAGAGCAAGGATAATGGTGAGCTATAAACTAGCTAAATGCTTATGTGGAAGAGAGAGATAAATAAAAGTGGAGAGTGTTGACTCTTACGCAAGAGTTAGCTACACACAAGCTCCAAGAAATATACATTAAATTTATAGAGAGATAAAGAGAGAGGATGAAAAAAATAAAGCTAACCTTACAGCTAACATTATATATGTTAGCTTTAACATTAACTTATAATAAGTAGTGGGCTGTACTACTAAACTTGCTCTTAGGGTGGATAGTGAGCCAGCTCGGCTCGGTAAAGCTCGTTAGGATAACGAGTTGGCTCGGCTCGTTAGGACCGGCTCGTTATCCTAACGAGCTAAAAACCCGGCTCGGCTCGTTTAAAAGCTCTAGCTAGCTCGTTAAGCTCGCGAGCCAAACCATACAAAAACTGCCTCTAGCCCTCAGCAACAGCCAACAGCAAGCATGCATAATGATAGTACGATAAATTGTTACATGAAAATATCAAAGGAGGAGGCCGAGCACGAGGAGCAGCTTCGACGCCGACGAGAGGGAGCCGAAGGTCGACGTCGTGGCGACGCCGTGGGAGCGGCATGGGGAGAGGAAGGCGCTGCAGAGGCCTGGGTTACCGGCGAATGACGTGGCGTTGAAGTAGGCGAACTGGCCGGTCGCTGGGACCTCGCCGGAGAGATTGTTGTCGGAGAAATCGACGGCCGTTAGGCTCTGCATTCCGGCGCGTTGTGGGACAGATTGAGATAGTTGAGGATTCGTAGCCCGGCGGCACCGATGGCCATGGGGTTGGCGGCGTTGAGTTCCTTCGGTGGACGGTGGCTGAGGAGTGGCCGGATGCGGCGGCGGCGCCGCTCCTTCGGTGGCGTGGCGGCGGCGCTTGGCGGTGGTGGCTGGCTGGCGGCGGCGGCGCTTGGCGGTGGCGGGCAGCGAGCTGGCGGCTGGCGGGTGGTGGTGGTGGCTGGCGGCGGGGAGGATGAGAACGAGAGAAGGGGATGGATCGGGAATCGGCCACGCCAGATCGGGATCGAGGTGTCATTAGGGTTTTCTTGGCTGCCGAGTTGGGCTCTTGGGCCTCCATTCTCTACCAAAATCCAATTCCAAAGGCCCATAGCTCATATGCCCTGGCTCGTGAGCGGCTCGCGAGTCAGCTCGATTCGTTAGGAAAATCAAACGAGCCGAACCGAGCCGAGCTTGGTCACGAGCAGAGCTAGCTAACGAGCCACGAGCTTCCTCCATCCCCGAGCTTCCTCCACCCCCTAGTACTACTACTATAGTGTCATTACTCCGAACACAACGCGAGCGGCCGCCTCCTCCTCCGCCCAGTGACATGCCACCCGCCGCCGCCGCCGCCGCTGGCATCATCCCCGCTCGTCGCCGTCGTCGTGCTGCGCCCGAGGAGGAGGAGGAGGAGCCGGTGCCGGTGCCGGTGCCGGTGGTGGCAGCGCGGACGAGATCGGGGCGCCGCTATGGCCGCGCTTAGGCAGGGCGACGACCCCGCCATCAAGCTCTTCGGCCGCACCATCCCCCTCCTCCTCGACCCCCCCGCCGCCGCCGCCGCCGCCGCCGACGAGGTGAGCCATCGATTTCATCCAATGCCAATAGGGAAGTAGTCGGAGAGAGGAATCTTTATCTAACTCCCTCCCCGCTTTGGACGAGATGCGACGCGCCTCGCTTTCTCTCTCTCTTTCTCTCTTTTCCTGGCTGCTTTTTGGGGTATCGATGCTTTGGGTTTGCTCTTCTAGTTCGTGTCGGCTAATTAGGAGATTGAGAAATGAGTTTAAAAAAGGGATTAATTCTTTGCCGCCATGGTGTTCGATGCAAATTCTCAAGCACATTCTTCTTGTTTTTTCTCTCTCCAAAGAATTCAAATACCGCCATGGTGTTCGATGCACGGCTCTCAATACACTTTTTGGCAAATACTAAATTGACAACTTTTGCTTAGATCCATTTTGTAAAAAGTACTCCAAAACAGCAAAACTTTTACTACCCCCGTCCCAAAATAAGTGCAGCCATGAGTTTCAGCGCCCTACTTTGATCATCCGTCTTATTTTAAATTTTTTTATAATTAGCAATTTTGTAGTTATAAGATGATAAAACATAAATACTAATTTACTCGTGAATTATGTTTTTAATTCTTTTCAAAAAATTTTCAAATAAGACGAGTTGTTAAAGTTGGGCGCGGAAAACCATGACTGCACTTATTTTGGGACGGATGGAGTACTATTTTGGAGGAACTAAACAGGGCCTAAATATACTAATATAACTAGAGAAAAGAACATTTTTTTTTCAGTTTTAGCTCATTTATTTGAACAAATAGAGTGGGTCAACGGTATATTAGTGACCCATGCTAATCCCCAACCTCATATTTGTTGGTAGGAAAATTCTGTTCTAGAAAATTCTGTTCTATCCTTTCTTGATTTCTTGGCAACATTTGGGGTAAGATTCTGGGAGTTTGATTGGCTTATCTTAGCTTTCTTTGTGCAAAGAACCATCTTTCGATAACCATATGCAGAACCTAGAATAGATGGTACTAAGTCTGTTTGTCCTGAAACCTGATAGACTGGATAGTCCGTGCCTTTGAACCAAATTGCTTATCAGGACTTGATTTCAGTGCACTTGCACTCTAGTATGGGTTAACTTTTGTTGCCAAAGGTACTTTTTACGTACTAGTATATGAGTTATTCCAGCAAGCAATTCTGGAAAAAAAGAAAAAAAAAACAGACTCTAAATGCTAAATTGGAGTCTGGAAAAGTAGTGTTATACTATGTACTATGATAGTGGAACTGAGCCTTAGTTTTCAAACAGTAGTTGTACGTACCTCTGAAAACCGTATTGGTTTGCAATTTGGTTTCAAAACACTGGAGAAGGGACTCTGATCAGCTCTCTGCAAGAAGGAACTGAAAATGTGTCATATATCGTACATGTCGATTGCTATTTGCTACAGAGCAAATTTGCCATACATCAAACAATTTTGCATGTCAAACTGACTCCAAAGATGATTTTACTACCAGCCTTAAAAATAAAATGCCCACTCATTACTTATTTACATATGCACATTGTATTGTTGCTATGTAACAGGTTTGATACTGAGTAGCTCTGGTACTAACATGTGAAGTATTGAGCTATGAAACTGAAGTAATGTTTTGCTCGAAGTGCTGCTTTATGCTTAAACTCAAGTGCGCCAGAAAACAGTTGCATAGCCACACAGTGATAACTTGAAATGTTAACATATGGTATTTTTAGCAACCCCAAGTATGAACTAGAGTTTTACAAGTGCAAGTGAATACTGAGTATAATAGAGAAAAGATCCCAACGGGGAGAAATTCTTAGTAACATTAGGCAATAACTTATCGCACAAACATGGCGACTCTGATTATTCAGGGATAACATAAAATGATTTATATTTAACTGAAGGACATTGAAACTGCAACAGAACATTGTAATGGCGATGTATCAGTTGTGCCATCAGGTAGTTTCCGTGACCCCACATGATTCAGCTGAAGCTGAAGAAAGACTTTCATGAAAATTTAGGCCAGTAGCACCTGCATCATTTTGAATATAACATGGCTTATATGCCTCATAATAATTGAATACTTGACACTATCACACTATCACAGTTTTAACATTTTGCTATACTTTTAGCTAAATGATCCAAAATCTCTGCTTGATATTTTATTATTTTCTTACCTCTTATGTATAATCCATTTCAGGTCATGCCTAATTTAGGAAATGGTGTAAAAACCAATAATGACTTACCTTTAGTCTCAGACAAGCTTTTGATTGTCAAAGGTATTCCTTTTTGTCCCAACAATAGTAAGAAAAATGATTTACAAGGCATCAGCAGACCGGATGGAAGAATAGAAATCGATTCCATGACTGAGGATGTTAAGACTGAGCCTGATGGATCTGTCCCTGAGAAGATACTCAAGAAGCCAGATAAGATTCTGCCATGTCCACGCTGCAATAGCATGGAAACAAAGTTCTGCTACTTCAACAACTACAATGTTCACCAGCCCAGGCACTTCTGCAGGAACTGCCAAAGATATTGGACCGCTGGTGGAGCTATGAGGAATGTCCCAGTTGGTGCTGGAAGACGCAGAAATAAGCATGTGTCAAAATACTGTCAGGCGATGATGACGTGCAATAATACTGTAGCTCCTGGAGATGTTTCTGATGTGGTTCACCATCAGGTTATTACACATGGATCTTCTCTCCTTCCAGCAACACTGAAGGAAAATGAAACACCTACAGAATTCATATCAGAAGTACCACCATGTAAGTCTTCAGCTTCAATCCTTGATATTGGAGAGCCGAATGATACTGACCTTGTTCCCTTGGCCTCTGGTGATAACAAGGAAGAAAAATCATGTGCATCTTCTGTGGTAGTATCCAGCTGTTCAGAGAATCTGATGCCAGATAATGCAATTATGAAAGAGCCAAACAACAGGTCAGGATGTTGTAATGGTGTGGCATTGCCTTTCCCTACTGGACCTGCTTTGGTGCTCCCCTGGAGTCTTGGATGGAACAGTGTTGCTCTCATGCCAGCTACCCAGTGCTCGATGCAGCCCGTTCTTGGGTTAAAAGATGGGATACCCTGCCCGCCTTCATGGCCACCGCAACTGATGGTGCCGGCCCCAGGAATCTGTACTCCTGTTGTTCCAATCCCTCTTGTGCCACCTCTGTGGAGCTGCTTCCCTGGCTGGCCTAATGGAATGTGGAATGCACAATGCCCTGGAGGTAATACTACTGTGCTGCCGTCAACCGCTCCAAACAAAATTTCTTGTTCAGGAAGCAGTTCTCTGGTGTTGGGAAAGCATTCAAGAGAAGAAAGCTTGCAGGAAGAAGAGAAGACGAGAAATTACTTATGGGTACCTAAAACTCTTAGGATTGATGATCCAGCTGAGGCTGCAAAGAGTTCAATCTGGGCGACCCTTGGCATCAAGCCTGACGATAAAGGCATATTCAAGTCTTTCCAGCCAAATGTTGCGAAAAATGGCACGGCACCAGAATCGCCTCAGGCTCTGCAGGCCAATCCAGCAGCATTTTCGCGTTCTCAATCGTTTCAAGAGACGACTTGAGGAGCTTTTCTGTTTGTTTTCTGACATAAGGATCATACTGCTACCTCCACAGGAATGGTCACAATGTTTCTATCCAGTGTGATCTTGAGCTCATATGTTGCTAGAGCCAGATCAAATCTAGCAACTCAAATCTGGCAGAGTTGCCAGTGATGAACTTGGTTCTGTGGTAATGTTTATGTTGATCAAAAATCTCTGCTTCTCCCCAAGGAGAGAATTGTGAGCTTGTGATCCGGAGCTCAAAACATGCTCCATCTGAAATCATTAGTCAATAGCTGTCGCTGTGATGGAGGTGAAAAGGATAACTGTGAAGTCTCTTTTTTCTTACTTTCTTTGAATTTTTAGACTGGCATTCTGACGTTTGTATATAGCTTCTCAAAATTCATGTAATGGCTTCTATGTTAACCTGCAGAAAATGCATAATTTTGTAACTGGATGGGGATCAACTCCGTTTGGACATAAGCAAATCAGCCTAGTTATCTCATTTGCAGCATTGAAATTTACCCCAAACTAACACCATATCTGTCAATACCATTGGGTCAAAATGAACACCCATTTCTAAATTATCAAAATTCATTTACCTCACTGAATCAAAGGGTGTAAAAACCCTATGTTGTGCACTTGTGTGGAGGTGACAGATAGCATGAATAAACTGAAGCTAAGAAACTAAAAATACAAAGATAAATCAGCTTATGCAATAGGACAGGATCATCGTAGTGATAGAGTAAGAGGTAATATAGGTATATAACACTCTTCACCTTACAGTTGTGCTGGTCGACACAAGGATGAGAAACTTGCATACATCAAACAATTTATATTTCCTTTTCAGTAAATGTTAGATGAACACATGCCTACATACATACATCTTGGAGGCTAAACCTATCACCTTAGTGCTAAATGAATTTACTCGTATACACACCAAAGAGGCGAAAAACAACAGAAAAAAAAAGAAATTTCTATAAAGGAGAATTTTCTATAGCTATCTCCTTGGGTCATGCAGACGTGTCATTGGAACTTCTGAACGGTTCACCTGATTTACATTCTCGAATTTTTCTATCTCTCGGGCAACTTGAATATCACTGGGGGTAAAATACTCTGTAAAGGCCTTGATTACAAAATGTGGTACCATTGCTGCAACAACAATGATAAGCAGCAGTAACCAAAACAAACCTGTCCCCATTATATGAAAGATGGCCCTGAAATAGTTATATTGAGTCAGTATGCAATCAATCAAGAAATTGCAAAAAGAACTCCTATTTCACTTTAGGAGATCCATTCAAGAAAACATGATCATGGTGCTCGCATTACATGATGGATGTAGCACAAACATGCTTGCAAAGAAAGAGGCATTTAATCTAACTATGTATCAGGACAACTTTTATCCCTTTTACATAGGAGATATTGAGAGGTAGCAGCATCTATGTTAATTTTCTATATATCTTAATCTGAACACTTATCCCTCTCAATAAATCATAGTTACCACTTGAATATATCTCTACTTCTCAATATCCTCCTAGGAATAAAAGAACTCTACAAGGATTAACGTGAACAGCAACAAGGCAACACAAAATACTACAAATGAGAAAATAGAGACCACATACTCCCTCCGTACTCATAAAGGAAGTCGTAACACAACTTTGACTTCTTGTTTCTATAAAAATATTTATTGAAAAGTGATATATGTATACTTTTATGAAAGTATTTTTCAAGACAAATCTATTTATATAATTTTTACATTTTCAAACTCAACGACTTGAGAGTTATTCATGATTTATATTCCCAAGGTTTGACTTAAACATTATCCTAAACGACTTCCTTTACGAGTACGAAAAGAGTACTCAGGAGCTCCTCCCATAACAGTTGCATAAGCTCAAAAGTCATTTTACTTCCTAGGATAACTGATATTAACACATATTTCAGAAATTTACAGTTATGAAATTTACAAAATGCCTTGCAGGAAAGAATTTAAAAAGCCATTGCCAGTTCCAAACATCAGGTTGGTTACTACATTTTTAGCACCAAAACATTTTAAAAAAAAGAGGGTTCGCCTATAAATAAAAGAAAGCTGGAAATGAAGTACTTACCCATATCCAGGAAGAAACCAAATGGAGTCGATCACAAAGAGGCAAATGGTTGTTGCTGCTATTGTTCCCCACACAAAAGCATGTACGATCCAATTCCACCGAAAGATGTCCATGGCTAGTAGCATATTTACAACAATGACAGGGGCAAGTGCCCATAGATCTCCCAGACTAGACATATCTATCGTACTTTGTCTATATGCAAAATATGGCATGTAGAAAACAACCAGACTTTGCCATAGCGCTTCGAGCATATTGAGGACAAACAAATTTACATTATACTTCTCATCCCTTTGGCCAGATCCATATAGCTTTGGATAAGCTAGTAGTGTTTCCTTACTAAGATCCTTGTCAAGAATACCAACAACAATTGTTGGAAGGGATGTATATAGCACAGTATACAAAAGGCTACTCCATTCTGTGATAGCAGTTGTCAGAGTGAATGCTGTATAAAGTACATACCTGAGATCACAAAATTAAGTGTTATATTTTGGAGACAATGTCTCTGAATATTGCAAAAATTAAGAAAGCAACAACTTTGGTAATTCAACTGAACATAAATAGAGTCCACTTCTTTTCACTAGGTCTTACTAACATGGGGGTTTCCACAGTAACGTTTAGATAATTTTCTACATAAAAACAGTTTTTTTTTTCAAAGTGTGAAAACTTCAATGCAAAAGGGCTCTTACCAGAAAAGAACCAAGACAAATGTCGCATTCTTGTAAAAGTTGTAGAGGATCATATATGACATTCTTTGATAATTCCAATGGCCATGAACTAATAGAAGAGGGACCAAGAATCTGAATTGGCCCATCGCAAAATCTGATGCCATTACAGCCTGCCGTCCTTCTTGACCACTGATGCCAACACCAACATCAGCCATTTGAATCATTGAAACATCATTTGCACCTGAACAACAAAAGATTAATTAGCATATATCACATGTACATAAATTGGTTCTCACAGAATATTATATGCCATAATAGCAGAACCAGGAGGGAATAATACCATCACCAATTGCTAAGGTCATGTCATCTGTTCGGTTTTTGATAAGTGCAACTATCCCTGCCTTTTGTAACGGGGCCACCCGACAACACAATACAACACTACATTCTCTTGCCACTTTGAAAAGCTACACAAACAAAAGAAGAAAGTCCATGCATCAACTATGATTTTATACCAAGGATGAAAGGAAATGAAAAAAAAGAATCATATTTAGATGAGTACCTCTTCTTGCAACTCTGTCTCAAGTATGTAAACCAGGCTGTTACCATCTACAATTAACGCAAGAGTTACACCAGCAGATTCTGATGCTAATTCTGGACTCTGTGTGCCAGTTGAAGCAATTCTGAGCTTCTTAATCGTTGCATGTGCTTCCTCGAGACTCCTCTTACAAGACTCCTTTGAGTTGTTGTTTATCACAATTTGTGTCATGTCATTGGTCAGCAGTTTACAAGAGTAGCCAATAGAAATTGCTGTCTCCTGCTTATCTCCTGTTAAAATCCAAACCTTTATGTCTGCTTGTCGAAGAGATTCTATTGTTTCTGGAACCCCATCTTGAAGCTTATCTTCTATCCCAGTAGCCCCCAATATGCGGATATTGTTCTCTATATTGGCCGCAACTGATCGGAGTAAATTTCCCCTTCCAAGTACTGACGTGCTAGCATTTTCATATGCCAATTGCCACTCCTCAAACTCAGGTTGACTCAATTCACGCATGCCAATAACGAGAGTTCTTAGACCAAACGATGAATATTTGTGGAGGTGTGCCTCTGTAGCACGAACAATGTCCAGATCTAATGAATTTTTGGTAATTCCAAACAATGAACTGTCCGCACCTTTCACATATAGCTTAACAGTCTTATCGGGGCAGCCAACTATGACAGACATCCTCTTACGATCACTATCAAACTCATGAAGTCCTAATATATCAAATCTGCACATCCCATACCAGAAGATAAATTGGAACTATAAGCCATTCTTGTAAACAAGATATTGAAAATAAAATTTACACATAAAGAACAACGAACTGAAAGAATGGAGCAGAGTAGTCAATGTAGTAACAAAGCGGGCATTTATAAACAAAGCTAGCGTACTTCGTACATATGAGGTAACTAAGAATGCCTTTTGGAATAGTGTTATTAAAAATGTTAGATAAACATTTGGTTTGGTGAAAAATGATATGGTTTTATCCAAATTATCCAGAAATTCAGCTGCAAATCCATATGCACATCCTAAATTTGCTTTGTTTATAAATGCCAGCCTGTTCAATGCAGCTCCTTACAAATTTATGGCCCTAGTGCAGATATGTGCTCATCACAATAACTGGGTTCAAAGTGATAATTAACTTGGTTTTGCCTATAGCCCAGGTGTTTGACATGGACTTACAGCAAACACATTTAACTCTCTACAGTTGGTGATTAACCAATAAAAAGAGCTCCATTCATCAAATATATTCAACCAATATATTACAGTATTGGCTCCACAAACTAGCTTACTATAATAGGATATGCAAGCATGTCTATAAACACAAGGAAAAGTCAAGACATGCACTTGGAGAGTTGTAACATATCTCCAAGAGGTAAGCCTGATAAACTAAGTACTGAAATTTCGCTCATGTGGGGTAATGCCACAAATCATTTGGAGTTGGCACGTTGCATCCCAAAATATTCCAAATTATTATTTTTATTTTGAATAAATATTAACTGTATGCTAAGAATAGGAATAGGAAGATAACTAGCAAGATACAACTCAAAGTTAGCATTCACACCAGCAAACCAATAAGATAAGACAAAAGAATGACGTCACTAAACACCATAAAGCAAAGTGCATAAAACACTTGTGAAAATCGTTATTGAATAAGTTATGCTACCAACTGTTGATGACTATATGACATTGCAGTTGAATAAAGTTTTGTAGGTATAATTTTCCAGAGATGTAAACATCATGGATCAGGTAGCACACTAGCACTGTAGCAGACATCCACTCCTAGTCACATAATGATGTTGATACACCAAAATTGGTATTAGCTAAATTGCATAATGCCACTAATTATTATTGAAAACACACTCATGCAGAGTTGAAAATTAGCATGTCCATAAAGCAAATGATGAAAGACTACCTTACCTCTGTCTGTCACCAAGGACATCAATCACCACATAACCAGATGTTCGCTCAACAAGCACAATGCCATAAGATGCCGCAGCATACACTAGTGCCTGCTCATCAGGGGACTCACCCTGATAATCAATCAACTTTTGCTTAGAATCACGAGTATCTAGGACAAGTGGCACAATGGTATTACATGCAGCAAGAGCAAGGAAGAATTCGAGGACAAGCTTTGTTTCCTCATCTGTGCCACCACCCCTCAGTAACTTCAAAAGCCGATGATCAATCTTGACTGCCATCTTGG